GGGGTGACACACACACAAACACGCTTGCTGTGGTTTCTGAAGACGATCACAACAGTCTCCCACCTGATCTGTTCAAACGTGTCACGTCCTCCTCAAGGGGTGGAGTTGGATTTCTGTCCCCTTGCATCTGGGCAGGGCTGTGACTCGCTTGTCTCCAACAGAAAGTGGCAGAAGGGACATTGCGTGACTCATGAGGCTAGGTCAGAAAAGACGATACAACCCACCCCTTATTTGCACGAAGGCCTCAGTTCCCCTCAGCTGTCCCATTGTCCAGAGGCTGCCATGTTGTGAGGGCGCCCCACCTAGCCCACGACACATGGGGAGGGCCTGAGACAGCATGAAAAGAGAGAGGTGGCGGGTGGGCTCCAGCTGCTTCAGTCACCTGGAGGTCCAGCTCTAGTCAGCACAGAAGAGATCCTGAGCCACAACCACCCAGCTGAGCCCACCACCAATTTCCTGACCCACAGAGATACTAAAAGCACTACTGTTGTTCTGAGTTTCTGACTCACTGAGTTTTGTTGTGATGTGTTATACAGCCACAAATAACTGGAACTGCATTGTGTCTTCTCACTCTATACTTATTTTATTCATGTTTTTTTAAATAGAGATGAGGTCTTACCATGTTGTCCAGGCTGGTCTGAGCAACACGGTAGAACCGTGAACTTCTGAGCTCAAGCAATCCACCAGCCTCGGCCTCCCAAAGTGCTGGGATTATCGGTGTGAGCCACCGCACCTGGCCCCACCCTGTAATTCTGATCCTACCCTCTTCCTACCTGGACCCTCGTACGATTTCCCTGGGATCTCAGTCTCTAGAATTCAATCAGCCTTTTCTTTGGGATTTGGTTCCTCTTCATGCCTCTGGTTTGCCCTTTCTGTCCTCTCTGCCCCTTTTGTTTGTGAGAGGCATTTGTGAAATCTACGGAGGTATGCTTGTGGTATGTGTACTCAAACTTCTAGTAGCAGAAAATTCATGTGTTTGAGTAGCTAAAAATGGATTTTAAGGGAGGATTTCTGTGCATGCCAAGCAGCTTATCTGAATGTAAATGAAAAAGTTGGCCAGGCACGGTGGCCCACGCCTGTCATCCCAGCACTTTGGAAGGCTAAGGCAGG